CTATGAAGTCTAAAGTTCTAAGAGAGATAAGATTTTGTTTTAGGTAAGAGATATACCTAACATCAGTAAGTGTCCTAGTTAATCCACTATGGAGATTCCGCTTAACAAATCCTATCTCCTTAATATGACAGACAACATTGTTTCCCATCATTACTTTCCCACCATCTAAAGGTTGAAATGAGCTAAACCACTCCCTATTAGGTGTCATATGATAGGTGCAACCAGTGTCTAAAATCCACTCTTCCCTAGTACTGCCCTCTAGAATAACTAGGACCTTTGAACTTTCATAACCTTCTGATATTACCCCTGCACTACCTCCATCATCCTCTTTCTCATATTTCTTCTTCTTTCTCTCAGGACAGTCTCTCCTAAGGTGACCCTCCTTATGACAGAAGAAACACTTCCATTTCCCAGGTTTGGACTTAGACTTATGTCTATTCTGCCCTCTCCTTTTTCAATTCTTCTTTTCAGATCTTCCTCTTACTACAAGACCCTCACCATCACTCACATTTTTATCCCTAATTCTATTTTTAGTATCCTTAGCTGAGATAGCTTCTACTTCTTCTTCTAATTTCAGAGTCTGCCTACCATATTTCAAAGTCTCTACAAAATTAGAGTAGGATTTGGGTAGTGAATTCAACAAAATCACAGCTTGGTCCTCATCACCAATTTCAATAGAAATACTCTCTAAATCTTGTATAATCTTAAGAAAATCATTTTTATTATCTTTTGGAGATTTTTGTTCATCCATCTTAAACCCAAATAAACTCTGTTTTAGAAATAAACGATTAGGCACAATCTTAGACTGATAATGTGAGTCTAACCTGCTCCATATCTCTGTAGCAGTCTTTTCCTTTTTGACCTCTCGAAGCACTTTGTCACCCAAGCCAAGGATCAGCGAGCTTTTGGCCTTGTTTAGCATGTCTTGTTGTTCATTAGTGGTTAATGTTGCAGGTAACTCATCTTTTCCCTTCAAAGCTAACACCAAGCCCTCTTTAACCAGTACTGCCTCCATCTTTATTTTCCATAGTCCAAAGTCGTTCTCACCTGTAAACTTCTGAAGCTCATATTTAGTCGACATGTTTTCTCACAGATCGAAAAAACATTCAATAACAGAGAAGGAATCAGTTTAAGGAAACTCAGAGAAATGTATTTAGGCAAGATTAAAACAGAGAAACCCTAACTGGACCTTCAATCGAGCTCTGATACCAATTTGTTAAGATTCCAGGGTTTATGATTAAACCTAAATCAGTCTCAAACAGGCCATCAATCAACGACTAAACACAAGACAAATGGAAAAATAAAAGGAACAAACATAAAACAGGACATAACTGTTTATAGTGGTTTGGCTTTGCAGCCTACATCCACTCTCCAAGGCTCACAATAGGGGATTTCATTATCAATCAATAATGTACAATGAGAATGATTTCATCAGAACATAAGGGAAAAACAAACAAGGAAGGAACACACCAATTAGTAAAGCCCTAACTCTCTCAACCCGAAATCTGCTTTTCCTCCAGCACCAGCAGGTGTTAAATACACATGCTCTAAGCCTGAATCCTCATCCAGCTATCTCTGATTCTCCATAATCGCAAGATCACAAAATCAATTCTGGAACATTCAGTAGGGTTGTGAGTTGTCGAAGCAAAACAGAAATGAGAGAGAGGAATGAAGTCTACACACAAAAAGAGATAACCCAAACAGATAGCATATTAGGTTTAGCCAAAACGACGTCGCATAGGAGAGTTTGACTTTAACACTCAAGCTGACTTCCACTGTGGCAAATAAGGAGCCACATCACCACATGTAGTGTGGCTTATCAGGAACACCCCGGAAGAAGGAAAACTAGTGAATGAGATTTTCATTGTAGGATTAGGAATTCTCCCAATGCTCATGGGAATTCTAACTGACATGATAGGCTTAACGTTTTGGGTGGGAGCTGCATTGATTGGGTTTGTGATACCGCCTGGGCCTCCTTTAGGTTCAGCTATAGTAGAGAAATGTGAAGTCATTAACGCTTACATTTTCTTTCCTTTCTTTTATATCAGCATCGGTATTATTGTTAACATATACTCGATACAATATTGGAAAGAAGTTTCATGAATGTTTGTGCTCTTAGTTGCGCCCGTTTTTGGGAAGATGTTTGCAAATTTGATCTCTTTGCTATTCTTCAAAACAAGTGTTCGAAATTTTATCTTACTCACTCTCCTCTTAAACTTTAGGGGGATCAATGACCTCTTACTAGCCATACGATGGAGAAGAAATGAGGTCAGGCTATTGTCCTATTCATTCTTTATTGTTTAGTAAACAATTAATTAGACGAATGATCGAGAGACTAATTTGTAAGTTCAATTGTGTAGATTCTTGATGAAGCCACTTTTACTAAGACATCCCACTTCGCTTGGGAAGGAAAGGCCTAAGCTAGTTAAATACTAGGGAAACCTCCTAATAGTCAAGACACGTTTTGGGCTTGAACAAGAGTTCTTGGCTAGAAAACAAAACCGTGAGGGGTTGGGCTTTAGAGTCGGACCACCCAGGCTGTCAAAGCGGATAATATCTTAACTGTGTTGGGCCGGAAGTGGGTCGGGGTGCTACAATTGGTATCAGAGCCAATCCCAATTGGAAGTGTGTGGATAGTCAAGAGATCTCGCAGTGATCGTAGTGAGGATGCTAGATCCTGAGGGGGGGAGATTGAGACATCCCACATCACTTGGGAAGGAGGGGCCTAAGCTAGTTAAATACCAGGGGAACCCCTAAATAGTCAAGATGCATTTTGGGCTTGAGCAAGGGTTTTTGGGCCTAAAAACAAAACTGTGAGGGGTTAGGCTTCAGAGTTGGACCACCCAGGCTGCCAAAGCGGACAATATCTTGACTGTGTTGGGCCGGTAGTGGGTCGGGGTGCTACAATTGGTATCAGAGCCAATCCCAACTAGAAGTGTGTGGATAGTCAGGAGATCTCGCTTGGCCCAAGAGGGATTGCAGCGAGGACGCTGGATCCTGGAGGGGGGGGGGGGGATTGAGACATTCGACATCACTTGGGAAGGAGGGGCTTGAGCTGATTAAATACCAGGGGAACCCCCTAATAGTTAAGACTCGTTTTGGGGGTTCTTGGGTCTGAAAACAAAATCATAAGGGGTTGGGCTTCGGAGTCGGACGAACGACCTAGGCTACCAAAACAGACAATATCTTAACAGTGTTGGGTCAACCAATTGTAGCACCCCAACCCATTGCCAGCCCAATACAGTTAGGATATTGTCCGCTTTGGCAGCTTGGGTGGTTTGACTCCGAAACCCAGCCTCTCACGGTTTTGTTTTCAGGCCCAAGAACTCTTGCTCTAGCCCAAAATATATCTTGACTATTGGGAGGTTCCCCTGGTATTTAATTAGCTCAAGCCCCTTATTCCCAAGCGATGTGAGATGTCTCAATCTCCCCCCCTCAAGATCCAGCGTCCTCGCTACGATCCCTCTTGGGCCAAGCGAGATCTCTTGACTATCCACACACTTCTGGTTAAGATTGGCTCTGATACCAATTGTAGCACCTCGACCCACTGCCAGCCTAATACAGTCAAGATATTATTCACTTTAACAGCCTAGGTGATCTGACTCTGAAGCCCAGCCCCTTACGATTTTGTTTTCAGGCCCAAAAACCCTTACTTAAGCCCAAAATGCATCTTGACTATTTGGGGGTTCTCCTGGTATTTAACTAGCTCAGGCCCCTACTTTCCAAGCGATGTGGGATATCTCAGTACATATGGTTCTTTGACGCAAGAAAGTGTTCCAAGTCTGTAATCCTATCAATTTTTTTCTTCTTCTACTTTTGATTCTAAGTCTTATGATTTGCTTCCTCAATACCTTTTACATTAACAACCAAACTCGAATTTTTAATGTAAACATAATGTATCACTAAAACAAACATCATCCCTTGACTAAAATCTCTAGATGCAAGAAAATCACCGATCTCTCCAAGCTCTTTGTATTCTACCCAAGGCTTCATTTCTAGCTCCAATTGTGATCCAGAAACTCGACGCTTTCCTACAATTACAAGGTCATAATCCTTCTTTGTAAAACGAATTACATCATCAATTGCTTCCTTAGTATCCGCTGCCTCAAACTCTCTAAATGCCACACGCCAATTATTAATATTCTTTTTCAGAAACTTATCAATTGTATAGTCATCAAAATTCCTCTCAGGTATATTCTCTTCTTTTTCATAATCTTTTTGGTAAAGAGTCCTAACCAAACTGATCTTCACATTAGGTTGTTCTAACATGCGTGAAACCAATGCCATTGCCTCTCGGTCATCAGGTCCGCCAATGAAGAAAACATCAACATGGAAATATAAATTTGTTGAGTACAACTGATGGGGCAAGCTTGTATCTATAAAAATGCCAACCGTGCACGCTGAATATCCTTGGATATTATTGTTTAAACTGTGCAAGTCTACTGCGACCTCATGAACTAGTTAATTTCTATGGAAGGGAAGCACAATAAAAGGAATACTTTTATCTTGAGCTAGACTACAAATGTTTTGGTGCATAGTCTTGTGTGGAACAATCATTGTGTAGGTATGAAGAATGATAGAAAAAGAATAGCTTTCAAAGTTGTTTGTTATCGCATGCATAATGCGATTAGTGGAATTCAGAAATAATCTTTTCCTTTTGTGATTGTAAGGAGCTAAAAGTGGTGTTGTTTGATCGAGCAACAAGCTCTTGAAGGTGGATTATGTAAGCGTTTATCAGGCTTTTTAATTTTCAGTTGGATTTAAGATTTTCAGCAAAGTGATAATGCTATGAACATTCTCTTCACAATGAAAGCCGCAAAAGACACGTAATTCAGTATCTACTGCCATCTCTTGTAGCGTTTTCAAGCGGGATCGATACTCAGAAGATATCTTAAGAGCCGTTTGAGGTTTGTAATAAATATTTATCAGAGTCCCTATAGTTGCAGTCACAAGGATGTTGATCAATACAAACAAAGCACNAATGGTATACCTAAAGATCTTCAATTTAACACGATTTTCCGCTTCGATATATTCTGAAAGTGTTCAATGATATCTTCATTTTCAATTGTAGCAAAAACTTCCTTTTCAATGTAAACCACCAAGCAATTGTTCATCCAGTCGTCTCCCATTCGATTACGCAAACTATTTTTCACAAGATTCATTGCAGAGAACACATTTTCAACTGTTGCAGTGGCCACAGGCGAAACCAATGCTAATTTAATAAGCACAAAAACTTTGTTGTAAGCAACATCCTTCTTAAACTCAACCATTTTTTTAGCAAGGTCGGCAATCCGATCCCTTCGACATGAGTGAAATTGGCATTGGTGCTAACATCCTCATAATAGTTTTCAAGTTGATCATCGAGCAACCAAATATCGTTTTGAGGAAAATCAGCAGGATAGAACTTTGCAAATTCAAGTAATCTATCTTTGTTAAATGCAACAAAAGAGTTACTTGGATCAAGAGATGACATACATTGAAGCAACCTCATATTTACTTCATCAAAACGATTATTGAGTTCTTCTTGAATGTTATCCAAAACTGTATACATCAATTCCACTTTAAAATGATGTTTATTTGTAATTGGTACAATCCCCCGTTTTTTCCTCCCAAAGTTATCTTCCATATTCTCCAAGATTGATCTGTCATTATCTTTGCACATATCAGAAGCTTCTTTTAACAATATGTCAAAGCCAGTGTCTTCATTTCTCATTTTATGCAATCGACGTTTCGAAATTTGTAATGCTTTTCTTTGTAATGCTTGTGACAGTTCATTTGTGATTCCCAATACTCTTTTAATCAAGAATAACAAAAAGACGAATTCAAAATTCTCCTTGATTCGTAATAAACTCCTTGCTTGACTTTTGTTTTGCCAATCGTCTCCTTCAAACTCAATCACCCTAAGCACATCAACAACAAAAGAAAATAAATTTATGACATTATTAATTGTCCCTATGTGTGAACCCCAACGTGTATCTCCTGGTCATTTAATTGTGCATTCTTGATTCAAACCTCGTCCCATATGAAAATCACCATTAGAAATCAAAAATATCACATTTTCATATTGTTTATCAATAGAAGATCTCTGTGCTTACAAGATGTCGCTATAGTGTTTGATAACATAAAAAGAGATTGAAAAAATTCACCCAATGCCGAATGGTTACTTACAACTTTGACTAGTGCCAGTTGGAGTAGATGAGAGAAACAATGAATGTAGAAAGTTGATTTATTTTCTCTCAATATCAAAGTCTTCAAACCATTGAACTCACCTCTCATATTGCTTGCTCCATTATAACCTTTCCCCCGTAAACTTGTCAAACTCAATCCATGCTTTACAAAAAAAGCATCTATTGCAATTTTCAAAGACTTTGCAGAAGTATTCTTAACATGCACAATCCTGATAAAACGTTCAATAACACAACCTATTTTGTCCACATAGCGAAAAACAATAGCCATTTGTTCTTTCACTGCCACATCATAAGATTCATCAACTAGTAAAGAGAATGGTTGTTTATCTCTCACAATTTCTGCAATAATTTTCTTGGTCGTCAAATGAGCACAAACACTAGTTAATTCCCTTTGGATGTTGGGGGCCGTCATTTGATGGTTTTTTGGAGCATTTTCCAGCACAATTTTTTTTATGTCGTCATTATGATTGGATAGAAACTTTAATAGTTCCATAAAGTTACCTTGATTTTCAGATTCAACCGACTCATCATGACCACGAAGTGGCAATCCTTGATGTAAAAGAAATCTAATACAATCAATTGATGCATTTAAGCGGATGCGATAGTCCAATTTGGCTTTTTTTGACACGCAAGCAAGATTTACATTAATGTGTTGCTTTTGGTTTATCAAATCAACACACTTGGCATGACATTGGTTATGAGTACTAGAATTATCTCCAACATGTTTTTTCACTTTCGCTTTATCTTTCCAATTATTAAATCCCTTACTCATAAAAACTTCACCACCTGCTTGGTCACCATAATCAGTTTTGAAAAGATAACAATTTAAACAAAAGATGCAATCTTTTGCCACACTATATTCCATCCAACTTGGACCTTCTTTGTACCACTCTGGTGTAAACCTACGCTTTTTATCTCCGAAAAGAGTGAAAGGAAAGTTATGATCTTTAGGTTGGCAAGGACCTTTCAACAAGTATGCTCTTCAAACTTCCTCTTTTTGCTTGTCAGTGCAACAAATCTCGTTAATTGGTATCCTCAATCTTGGATCAGTTTCAAGCTCATCTAAATTGAACATCCCGACCGAAGGTTGAGCTTCTTTTACTTGGAGTTATTGTTGCCGATGTGGGGCTTCTTCTTCTAATGGGATTTGATTAACCTCAATATTAACAGAGTCTCCATCAACTTTCTGTTGGAATTTTCTTTAATCTCTTGAAATAATTGGATATCATAGCTATCAAATGAAAAAAAGATAATATGATACATGTAAATAAAGACCGATGAAACTTTAATTAATAAAATTACAAGGACTTATTTATCATGTTTTTAGATTTAACAATTAGATCTAATTAAAATATTTTTTTAGCAATTAATTAATCATTTTATTGTGTTAATTTTCTTATATTTAAAATCATTTTAGTGAAATTTAAAAACTTATATAATTTGCTAATCAATTTTTTGACTTATTTAATTTATTTGCATAGATTAACTAGATTTTTTTTAATTACTATTAGAGCATACTTAGTCAACTAATCACATTATAAAATAATAAAAATATCATTATTAATATATTAATGATTGGTGTAAATCAAGTTGTCCTCTAATTATATAAAAAAATAATTTTATAAATGTATTTGTGATATCTAAAGTCACAAATTAATAATAACGTTTTCAACCAATTACAAAATCAAACAAACACAAAATAACCTCATAAGATTTATACTTTTTTTTCATCAGAATAAAAAACCTCCATAAAAATAAATATGATTTAACCCTAAAATAAACTAAATTAAAATAAGTAATATATATATCTAAAACGGATAAAGTAGAAAATAGTCTTCAAAAGTTGTAACTTCAATCGAGCCAGTAAGACAAAGAGAAGGAGAGGTGCACTCACTAAATAAAATTAGGAATACAAAATTGTGGTTTTGCCAAAATTGGCCACATATGGCATATATATATAATATATTTAGACTGATGAAACTAGTAGACCCTGCAATATTTATGATGGGTGAGTCATTAACCTATTATAGCATTTAGTTTGATTGTGGGCCATATGTATTGTACCTTTTTTATATAAAAATCATTAATTGTAAATATTTGCAAAATTTTTTTCAAAATCTGAGGCCTACCCTCAAGGATGCTGGATCCACCCCTGGGCTCTGAGTAGTAATGGAATCTTAACTTTGGGTGGGAAAGTGGTATTTTGAAACTTTTTGGGTTGCGAAAGTGTCATTAATGCAAACCTTGGGTGGGAAAAAATCGTTTACTGTAATAAAATAATGACCTCTATCTTTTTTCTTTTTTTTTAAGATTGCACTGAGTCAATATATACGAATAAAAATTTGCGTCCAAATTTTTGCATCTATAATTTTTTATATTATTATTTTGTTTTGTATAATTCAAATTTTAATTAAATGAAATATAGGTTATCGAAACTATTTAATTGTACAAATTCTTATAGTGTTGTTCTATATTAATCATTAAAAAAACTTAACAAAAATATATATTAATTTATTTATATTAAGAGTATGTTTGGAATTGTTCTAGCTTTGAAAATTAATAAATTATTACCACAATCACAATTCTTTAAAACAAGTAATAGCAATAAATATACAGAAAAATTAAAGAAGTTGAGAGAGAAGAGATGTTCAGTGTTTTATAGTGGTTCGGAGCTTTGATCAAGAGTCTCCTACATTCATTTTTTCAAGTCAATGTCCTTGAAGTTCCACTAGACTCGGATTTCGCCAATTACAATAGTTTGGCATGATTTTGCCTTTGTTTTATAGGATTTCACCAAAGAGATGTATAAAAATGTTATTATGAAAGATTGCCTCTAAGCTAGGCACTACTCATGATAACCAGGATCGGGAGCACTATTTACCTTTCCAGACATTTAAGAAGTTGTGTACAGCGGATGGTTTTCCAGAGGCAACAACAAATATTTTTCCAGCAATTAGATGGAAGTGCTACTAATTTTTTCATGGGAAGTTTGACATGGCTAAGATGAAAGAACTAGCTGCAAGTTGGGTGCTTATACATGAGCATCCATTCACAATTGTGGAGGGGGATGAATATATATAAAGATATGGGATGCCTTAATGGGAAAAGATAAGTTGCAATACGTGCAAAAATGATTGTGTTGCTTTGTATGAAAGTGAGAAAAAAGATTGAAGACTTTGCTAATGAGTGTTGGCAGAGTAAGCTTGATGAAGGATTTATGGAAGTCAAGCAATTAAAAGTTTGAGTACGTACATGGTGCTGAGGGGGTACTTTATAGAGGGTAATTGGAGGTTGTAGAAACGTGTGTTGAACTTTGTGCATATACCACCTCCTCGTACTGATGTTCAGATTGTAGACTTGATTTATAAGTGTTTGAAGGATTGGGGTTTTGAAAACAATGTCTACACGATCTCAGTCGATAATGGCTCAAGTAACAATACGATAATAAGAATATTGAAAGAGAATTTATCCATAAACAATAGGCTCATCTATAGAGGGAAACTATTACACGTTTGGTGTTGTGCACATATCTTGAATTGTCTTTCTAAAATAAAGTATATTATTGAAGATATACATGACAATGTGGCATATGTCAAACAAATGGAGAGCAACCTTATCACTTTTGTAGAGATTGTCCAACTACCCACTCCTAAACACTAGTTTATTGTAAGATACTTAAGGGTGTGAAGTAGGGGATTTTGGTGTAGTAGTTAGGAAGGTTCTTGTGTGTGAGGTGTTAAGGATGGTTTAGGGAGGGACAGATGGCATTAAGGGAGTGGATGATTGAAGAATTCTATTATGAGGAATAGAATAAAAGGGGAGACAGTGGGGTATGGAGGGGCAGAAAAAGAGAAAAGTGGAGCGTGTGAGGTTGTTAGCCCTCGAAGTCCAACACTACCTAAGGTTGTTAGCCCTCGAAGTCCAACACTACCTAGGAGGAGTTGGCCCTCGAAGACCAACATTATTTTGATTTCAAGTTTTGGTTTATGGTTTATTTGATTTCCTATTTTGGCTAGTTTTGTTAAGTTTTTGTTGTTGTGTATTTTGTGTTGTTGGAATATCAATATAAGTGCTAGTATTTCTAGATTTTGGCTATTGATTCTTGTTGCTTTATGGGTTTAATTCGATTGTTTGCTTATTATTTCTATTGTGCTTGGTTGGCCTGGGAGTGGCATCCATCAATTGGTATCAGAGCGGTTTGGTTGTGGGATGGTTGGTACGAGAATGGAAGTTAAAATAGAAAATGTTGAGAGGGAAGTGTCAAAACTTTGAAGAGATATTGATGCTATTTGGGATGATTTGATGGAAATACGAGCTTGGATGAGAAGGAAAGATGAAGAAGAAGTAAGGCGAATAAGTAGAGAGAAATCGCCTGAAGTTCCAGAGTCATTGGGAACTATTCACAATCATAATCTGGGAAATCAAACAGAGGCAGAAGGGAGCAACACTTTGGGGCAGCTAGGCATGGTGGAGGTTAATCAAAGAAAGTTTGAGGTTGTCTCAACCCTGTTAAGTGAAGAGGAAGAACATATTTTGAGGGCTTCTTTTGTAAATGGGCTGAAATATGAAATTAGGGTTAAAGTGAGGTTAGGCCAACCCAACTCATTAGTCCAATTAATTGAATTGGCCCAAAGAATAGAGAAAAAGACTTGGGCTTGGGAGGATTTAAAATTTAGGCTAGACAAACATGGGAAAACAAATATAGCTGGGCATGAGGTTGGACAAACTTAAATTGGGTTGGGACTAATAGGAATTAGACCAGCAGACTTGGAGCTTAGTCAAGGAACCGGGTCAGGGAAATTTGGGTCAAGGGTCCATTTCCCTTATATCAGAAACAAATCGCACGACTCCAAACTTCGTCCTTTCTCCGACCACCCAAAGTACTCCACAAACTCATCAACGGAGCGCCAATCCTAGGAAGAAGCACCGTCCAACACAGCGACGACCGTCGATCACCAGAGTACAAGCTCGGCAACGCTTTGAATGATCGATTCCAACTTCCCTCAACTACGAACAACCCTTTTCTAGCGATGGACAAAAGATGAGGAAAAGTTGGGTAAAGTAGAAAAGGGTAGTGAAGGAGTGGAGGAGTGGATGGTGTAGGGTAAACCATTTTCATTTTCCCACCTTGAGGACAAGGTGGTACTGCTCAGGGGCGTATTGATGAGACCCACTCCTAATACGCTGGTCTATTGTAAGAGACTTAAGGGTATGAAGTTGGGGATTTTGGTGCAATAGCCAGAAAGGTTCTTGTGTGTGAGGTGTTAAGGATGGTTTAGGGAGGGACATATGACATTAAGTGAGTGGATCATTGAAGGAATTATGTTATGAGGAATAGAATAAAAAGGGAGACAGTGGGATATGGAGGGGAAGAAAAAAAGAAAAGTGGAGGGTGGGAGGTTGCTGGCCCTC